CACACCTTTGCAAACCTGTGTACTCGGAGGTTTTATATTAATCTTCTGGGGTAGCCTGCTGCCTCTTGTCCTGTAGACCTCTGTAGAGATTGAGAAGACAGATTTGCAGGTGAGAACAAAAAAAAAACGGATATTCTGGGGCTGTTCTTTTTCTTTTGCCTCCCTATCTAAGTGGATTGAATAAAAATACTTCTGATACATGTGGATAAGAGTTTCTGGGCTTACTTGTGTTGAGAATTATGTCAGAGGAAAAGGAAGTTCCTCTATTTGAAAAACCCAGATCAGATAAGGACTGTAAGTGGGGCAATGTGCCTGATCTGAGAGAAATTTTTGGCTGGTTGAAGTCCACTTTTATTGTGGGCCGATAAATAAATATGAAGAGCTTTGGGAGCTTGCCCTTGGTAGGCAGGGGACAGAAAACGTACTAGCCCCTGGCAAGAAGCATTCTGCGTCAGGTGACTTACGACGCATGCTGTGCAAATATTATCCTGTGTAATCCTCTGGAACACAGAAAAGTGGTCAGCCTGGATAACTGTCAGCAGGGGAAATTAAGTAACCTATTTTGTGATAAAAGGACTGAGCGGATTCTAGTGCAGGGACCAAAATACAAAGGTGATGAATTCCTCATTTAAATTAAAAAATGAATCTATTGTGAGGATTATCGGAATCTTCATCTCCATATATGTGGTATATAAAAATGTGCACAAAAATGATGAGACAGCTATGCTTAGCACAATTTTCCACAGTGTCTTTTCCTCTAGGAATTGTTTTTCTTGGCTGAATTCTGAGTGCTGGAATGGCTTTGTCAGAAGTTTCAAAGTTCCTTTCATTGGACTTTGTGTGCTGCGAATGCTAACAACTCACCAGTGTAGGCCAGCTCCCCCGGGTCTCCTCTGTTTAGTCAGCTGCATTAGTGAACGGCATAGCTGTGCCCTCCGGGTGCATATCCTCAGCGTGTGCAGAACATAGTACCAACTGCAGCTGGCAATACTTGTATATTACAGCTTCTGTGTTGTGGCATCAAACTCCACCCTGCTTCTTATTTTTGTGTAACCCACTGAGATGCTTCTAGCTAAAATACCAAATTAGCCCTCAGACATGTTACACTTCTGTCTTGAGACTATCTAAGACTTGGCCTGGGTGCCTCTATCCTGGTCAGGGGTTTTATTTCAGTGGAGCATCTGACAAAAATTGCTATGCCCTTCCATAGTCAGCCTTTGGTATATACTTTATCTTAGTCTATTTGGACGGCTGTAAGTCAATGTCTCAAGCAGGTGGTTTATGAAGAGCAGGAATGCATTCCTGACTGTGTCAAGGTCTGCAGAGGGCCTGTTTTCTGATTAATGGTGGTGCTTTCTTCTGCATTCTCCTGTGGTGAAAGCCGTGTCCTTATGAACTAATCCCCAAGGGCCTCACTTCTGCCTAGCATGACCATTGGGGTCAGAATTTTAACATGAATTCAGGGAGGATGCAGACATTCAGAGAACGGCTTATTCCTTGAATGACTAGGTGAATCTTTGCGCTCAGTAAGCAAAGGATCTAGACAAATGGCCATGTTAATGTAAATACTTCATACGTTAAATCATTAAACAGTCATGTCACAAGTCCTTAACGTGTGTCAGACAATGCGATAATCTTTGAGAATGAAGAATAAAAATAGAGGCCTCGTCCAGAGGAATTCACAAGTCCAATTGTAATCCATTGTTCCCAGTTCTGTGGTTGAAATATATACTCCTAGTGGATGGAAGAAAGTGATTGATTCTGCCAGGTTTTCAGACCACGGGGAGGAAATTGAGGAAAATCCATCGTGTGAGTAAGGCTTTGTAAAGGCATAAAGACTGGGTTTTATGGGCATCGTGGAGGCGGGATGTAGACGAAGATACCTCAGAAGTACTGAAGTAGGGATCATGTTAAAGAAACGTTCTATGAGAAATCATATTCCTCAGTCCAAACATTCTCCTGTATTTTATTTATTTTATTTATTTTTAAATTTTTTTTATTTTAGAGAGAGTATTAAATGAGAAACAAACAAACAAATAGAACAGTATGGCATACCAGTATCATGAACATAAACAAATCAAAGCAAGAACATTAAAGTGATACAGGGTCTCAAGACAAAATAATACGAATCAACAGTGGTTGTTACATTACATATCTCTGTCCTCAACTACATTGGTCAGATTACCCGATGTAAGAATGAAAGGTTGCTCAAAGCATTATAGGGAATAAAAAAATAATCTTTGATAAGACAGTAGAGATATACAGAGTTTCACTAGACAAGATGGTAGGAGTTCACCATTGTAATTCCATTGCATATTGTTACCTTCAAATCAGTTGCTCAGACCACCAGACACAAGCATGCAAAGTCGATCAGAACATAAAAAATTGTGAGCATGAACTGTTCATTTTAATACACCATCAGACAACAGCAATACAGTCGTCGCAGCTATTCATATATATATTTATATTTTGCCTTCTTTCTTTTTTCTTCTTTCCCTCATCCCAGTCATTCCTTCCTTTGAGCAATTTCTTTCCCTTTCCTGTCATCTATTGTACTCCCCTGTATTTTAAAACAGCAAGATCAAAAGGTAGAGGGAAATTGTTGGTCATTTAGAACTAATAGAAATCAATAACTACCAGCGCTATCTCAACAAGTACAGATTCTCTTTGATTAACCCAAAGAGCCAGGGTTCCAGAAGGGTCAAACCAGTGATGGAAAGGTCTGGAACACAGTCACAAGGGAGTTGGGAAGTCAAGCGATCAGGGAAGGAGCCACCTGAAGTTAGCTCCCCAACATCCATAAGCCATGTTCACGGACACACACACACACACACACACACACACACACACACACACAACCAGGGATCATTAAAAAACAGAAACAAAGAGGCAAGTAGAAGGCGGAAGTGACATAAACAAAGTAGGACAACAGTGGTTTTGTCCTAACAGGACTTTGCATGTCCTCAGCTTGCGCGTAGTCACCATTCGTATCTAACAAGAAGAGCTTTCTTAACAAACGTTTCCTCATTTATGAATGGGGATGAACAGTTTAGCTCATCATTTATGAAGCAAAGAGTGAGGCTTTGGAGGGTCCACGCCTGGCCGTGTCCTGGGTAGCAAGGAGGACGTCTGGGAGTCCTCTGTCTCACGTGGGGAAGGATGGATTCTTGTGGGAAGATGTTTCCAGAACGTGATGGGGCAGGAGCGAGGTCTGCAGCTGCGCTTATTTTGCTGACTCACAGCAACTGAGTAAAGTTCAATGCTGTTGTCCCTCAAGGAAGAGGCTCTGTTGAAATCTACATTGGCCTTAACCTTTGAGAATAAGCTCTGTGAACCTTCTTGAACATGTACTTAAGAGTATTGTTGGGGATTCCACCTAATATGTCAATGATACCTGAGTATGACTGCGTAGAAAAAAATCATCTACAGAAGTGTTCAAGATAATGAAAAGCAAATGGAATTTCCATGCGTTACAGGGAAAATGTGAAATAGTGTGTTCACTTTGGAAAAAAGAAAGCTGGTTTCTTATAAAGTTACACATATAGTTATCACAAATCTGGAAATGTACTCAGAGGGGAATAAAAACATATACATATATATATACATTAATATTTATAATAACGTATTAATAATTGCCCAAACTTACAGGCAATTCAAGTGTCCTTCAATAGGTTAATGGATAAAAAGCTGATGCATCTTATGTGCTTATACCTGGTAATCTGAACAACTACTGTGAAGACAACAATATGCAATATAGCAACTACTGCTGAATTCCTGTCATCTTGTTTTTTGAAATTCTGTGTCATTTTTAATGTTTTTATCATTTTTTATTCTCTTAAAAAAAAAGGCTGATACATCCACACAATACCTATAATGGAATACTACCCAGCAATAAAAAGACTTTCCTGTGGAAAAGTATATCTACTAGGATTTGATAAATAAAAAGTATGAGTCTGAAAAGGCTACACATTAAATAATTTGACATGTTTGGCATTTTGTTAAATGAAAATTACAGGATCAAAAACTGGTCAGTGATTGCTTTGGGCTGAGTCAGAGAAAGAGAAAGGGGTTGTGGTAAAGGGGCAGCAAAGCGCTTCTGGGCTTTGCTGAAGAGGGCACACCCCTTGTTACCATACCCATTCTGCCAGTATATACAACTATCAATATGCACAAAACCATCCACTTAAAACTGAACTTTACTGGATATGAATTATGCTTCAAAAAACTCGATAATACTAATAAAAAATATGGAGAACTTTTTAAAATACAGATTTCTAAGCCCTATACTTCCATAAAACCTTCTAAATAAAAACAAATACTAGTGGCAGCCTTGAATAATAATACAGTATTGTATATACATATAATACAAATGTAAATGTATGCATATTAATTATACTACTACATAATCAATTTTTTTCTTTGTTTTTTTTTTTCAAATTTGGATTGTACTACATAATCATTATGTTTCCTATGTAATGACTCAGAGGAAACATTTTAAGAATTTCTTTTTTTTTTGTCTCTAATATCAAGAATACTAGCAAGAGTTAAGCTGGTGGACACATACTGAGTGTTGCTCCAGCCGGGCACAGCGCCATAGACTTACACAAACCAGCCGCTGCACCATGCGCCCACTCACCTAGGTGGATGACCTCCACTTAATGTTTTCCAGTTCATCTGAAATTCACAAATGGCTGGTTGCGCAGAAAAATTCATTCAGTGGACTACTTTTAGATAGCAGTGTGGGTTGCACTTTGCCTGTGCTGAAGACAGATGGGAATCTTAACCACCCTGATTTGCTCATCATGCACTGAATATGTGTACCAAACTATCACACTATGTCTTCTCAATTTATAAAACTAAAATAATAAGTGATAAAAAAGACCACTAGAAATCATAACCATTGAATCCTTGCTCTGTTCCGGATGCTCAGGTTCATTGATTGCATTAGTTTATTTCACTGTCTCACTCTGAGCTAAGTGATCACTTTTTGCCATTTATAGGTGAGGAAGCCAAGGCTCCAAAGAGTTGAGTAGCACGCTGGATGTTGTTTGGGGGCAGAGCCGGCTGGACGTGGGCGGAAACAGAAAGGTCACACATTCTCAGATAGCAGATTCATTAGCCCTGGTGCATCTTTACTTGTTGGAATTCTCTGTGTTACAAAAAGGTGAAAACAAAAAATTCTGAAATATTTTTAAAAGTTAAGAAGGATGTTGGAGATAATTTCAGAAAGAGGTGCCTATCCCCTCCGCCAGCCTATTCTTTCTCACAGTAGGAAGTTTCGTGAGTGGCACATCCGTGAAACAGCAGGACTGGAGCCCAGATAGTTAACTGGAGCTGTTTACTGTGTCGGCCTGACTTCCCACTTTTCCCACTCCTCGATGCTTCTTGGTTGTCTAAGTTGAGTTACCTGTCAAGATGCTCCACCTGCAAAGCGCACAGATGCTAAAGACACTGGAGAAGTCCTTAACGAGGAACCTCCCTGAATCCTTAAAGGTAAGAGTGGAACACGTGTGAAGAAAAACAAGGGCAATTAGCTGCCTGTGAAAGAGATGGAAAAAGAAAGCATTCACCAAGCACCTTTCTGTGCTGTAGATACTCACGGTGTGGCATCTCAGTTAATTCACTCCACCTTGATGTAAGACTTGCATATCATGCCGACATAACTGAGGAGAAAATGGAGGTTCAGTTCTATATCCTGACTGAGACCGTAGGAAATGCTCTGACTTGAACCTTGTATGATCTTTGGTGTGCGATGACTCAAAACATTCCCTTCTACTCGTCACAAACTTGTGTTACATAAATCTGGAAGTTTTCCAGAGTTGGAAAGTTGACTAAAACTAACACATTAATGTTTAATTGGTTTTCATGTAGGGCTAAATAGTCATGTATCAGGAGAGGTGAGCCGCCTGAGTCTTTCTTGATATAAATAACAAACCAATTTGTGTTTTTTCCAATCCCAAATGATTATGTATAATTTTGTATGAGCAAGAAATTTCCTTTAGAAGGAGATCAATAATCTTGTACACAGAAGCTTTTCCTCACCTACCAATCGATATTTAAAATACATGACATAGGGGCTGGGGATTTAGCTCAGCGGCAAAAGCGCCTGCCTGGCAAGCGCAAGGTCGTGAGTTCGATTCCCGGTACCGGAGAAAAACCAAAAAAATAAAAAAATAAAATAAAAAATAAAAAATAAAATACATGACATAAAAGCCAGTAGAACTGAAAGGAAAAAACAGGGTAAACTCACCAGTATAATTCTCCTTCCAGTAATTTATAGAATAGGCAGAAGACATGTAGGTATATAGAAGTCCTTAACAAGACAAGGAACCAACTTGAACTGACATTTGAAAAGTATCTCCCTCAACACCAGAATAACATGCTGTTCAAGTGTTTAAGGAATATTTACCTGGATAGAGCACACACTTTTAGAATTTTAAAATGATTGTAATCAGGTTAAATATGTTCTTAAATAATAATGGAATTAAAATTTAAAAGCTATCTGGAAATTTCTAAATTTCTACAAATGATACAAACACATTTCTAAATATATATCACAAGAAAAATTAGACTATTAATTGAATGAAAATTAAAGTGTAGCATATCAAAATTTGTGAGATGCAAGTAAATCAGTGACAACTAGAAAATATACTATATTAACCGCTTATTGTAAAAAGTAAGAATGATCTCATCTCAGAAGATTTAAATTTCCATCCTAGAAACTAGAAAGTTATTGCAAATTAACACCTTAGTAAGGGGAGTGAAGGAGACAGGAGGAAAAGAAGGGGGAAGAGGAGGAGGAGGAGGAGAAAGAAGAGGACAAAGAAGTCAATGAGAAAGCAATAAAATAATAACAAAAATCTATGCAGCATCTATGCATCCAAAATCTGATTCTCAGAAAAGTTCAATAATGTTAATAATGCTGTCATCAAAGTGAAGAAGAAATAGGAAGAAAAGTCACAGGTTACCAGTGTTAAGAATGAAACAGGAGCCTTTGCTACTAGCTCAATAGAGATTATAAACATAATAAAGATGTTATTAATAGCACTGTGCTAGTAAATTTCAAGATTTATCCTGTGAAAAGCACAAATTATGAAAGTCACCAAAGTAGAATTTGCAATCTAAGATGTCCTATATCTGTTATTTAAAACACTCCAAAAAGAAAACTGCTCATCCAGATGGCTTCGTTACCAATTTCTACTACACAGGTGAAGAAGAAATAATACCAATGTACACAAACTCTTCAGAATAGGACAGAGGAAGGCACACCTCCCAGTCCATTCTATGAAACCAGAATTACCCTGATAACAAAACTGGAAATATATACTACAGTAAATAGAGAATATGTCCATCATGAGCACAAATGCAAAAATTCTCAACAAAATACTATGAAGTCAAATACAACATTTAGAAAGAATAGCCTATCATAACCAGTGGGGATTTATCTGAAGAATCCAAGGCTCAACATTAAAAAATCAATAATGTGGGCTGGGATATAGCTCAGAGGCACAAGTGCCTGCCTGGAAAGCACAAGGTCCAGAGTCTGATTCCCGGTACCAAAAAAAACCAAACAAACAAAATCAATAATGTAAGTTTCCATATCAGCAAACTAAAGAAGAAAACCCAAATGAACTTATCTTGATAGTTACAGAAAAATTATTAGACAAAATTTAATATTCTCAATAAACACTTCTGCAGCCTAGGAATAAAAGGGATTTCCTTCAACCTGATAAAAAAGCAAATGAGCAAAAGTTTTAATTAATATTTTAATAAATAGTGACAGATGATTTCTCTAAGATGGATATCAAGGCAAGAACACCCATGCTCAATACTCATATTCAAAGTAACACTGGCTGTTCTGGCCAGTATAAAAGACAAGGAAAAGGAAAAAAAAAGAATACACATTGTGAAAAAAGAAGTAAAATAGAGTTTTTTCACAGAGGTCATAATTTTCTAATGTAGAAAACCTTATGAAATATACAAAACAAACTTTAGTATAAACAAGTTTGGTGAGGTGACAAGATTCAAAGCCAAAATACGAGATAACAGAAATCAATTATGTTTATGTACACTAGCAAGAAGCATCTGGAATTAAGAATTAAAAAGCAGTACCACTTACATTAATACCTAAAGAAAAACAAAAACCAAAGGGTAAACAAACCTTTAGCTGTAGTTTCCTGTTAGTCTACACTTTTTTTTTTACTAATAACTCAAGTATTCCTGCTCAAATGTGTTCCCTACTCTTGTCAGCCTGTCAAGCCCAAAGGTGATGTGTTTAGTACAGTTATGACACCAGTATTGCTAAAGGGAGTTATGGTAGGAAAGGCGTAATGTTCTACCCTTTGTTACCTTTTCCTAGTGTTCGTGCACCTTGTATAAAGACCATTTATGGATTAAACCACATGAGCTTTATGGGACCCCCAAGTCACTGATCAATCAGAGGTAGCACAGCTGTCAAGAAGGCTGGGTCCAGAGGTAGACTTTTTTTGATCAAACAAATTCAGTATTTTCTGAACAACATTGCAAAAATTGATGCTCAGCAATTTTCATGTAAAATTAGTAGAACCTTGAAGTCAATATGGTAGACATTTCCATTCCATTCTTATTAAATCTCTGGTAAGAGGAAGATTTGGGTATTGTGGCCTGAGGAGATCCCACCTCCAAATAGAAAATACTGAATCAGTTTGTCACATCCAGCTCTAATTCATTCAGTTTGTAGTTAAGAAAGAGAGCAGTGATTCCATTATATTTTTGTATTATAGTGTATCTAAACATCACTAGTTCCAAATTCCAATGTATAAAAAAGTAATCGTTATTTCCCCCCCAAACTAGATGTAGTTGCTATATTGAGCTTCCACAAATGACAGAGTATTTAATAATTTTGTATAAACTTGGTTAAGTGAAAGTTCTGCTTCCCCTTTTTCCTTAGTCTGACAGAGAACTATTTCAAGGGAAGGATAGGGAATGTCAGGAGCAGGCTGTGTCTTTGTCAATGAAATGTTTTTTGTTCAATCGGCCCTTCCTGCTTGACCTGTTCTGGCCCCATCTGCTGACGTAGCACATTCTGCACTTGACCTCACTGCTGTGCACTGCTGCGTTTCCTTTTCCTCACAACCACAAAACTTCTAAACTTGGCAAATCTCCTTATCATCTTCTTCGGTGTTCCTGGGGTCGCTGGTGTTTGAAGACATGATTCTAGACAAGGATAGGCAATGGCCCAATGTATGATGTTCCTAGAGTCTTTTTGCCAAAGTCTATGACTTTAGCACTATCGTCTCTTTCTTATTAAATAGGAAAGAGGCTATTTAAACTTTCCAGGACGTAATTTGTAAATGTTTAGAAGGCATAAAGCCTTAAACGGAATGTGATGTTTGACCTAGAAATTTCCCGTCTAAAATTTGTAATAATAGGCATATTTTCAAAGACTTGAGCAAAAATGTTCCGTTGAAATATGAGAATAAAATATTAGACAAAACAGAAATAGCCTTTAGTAAGAGGTAAAAAATTTAGACATGTAATAAATATTACATAATTATGAAGTGTACTTGCATAGATTAATATTTAATGATATGGAAATATGCTCATGAGCATGTGGGAAAAATAGATGTTAAACTAATATTGGATTGAGGATGTAGCTCAGTGGCACAGTGTCTGCCTGGCAAATGCAAGGCCCTGAGTTTGATTCCCAGTACTCCCCCCAAATAAACTAACATATATTAGATAATTTTGTTTACAAAACTGTATGTATAAATGGAAGAAAATGAATGATATAAGAATAAATTGCACAAGAGTGAGTGATTGCTAATTTATTTCATTTATCTGGAGATACATATATATTGTTTTTCTCATGATTTCACCCAAAAATCTGCTTGTTTGGTGGATAATAAAATGTAGCCTAAGGACTGCACTAGATGCTCTATAAATTGCACACCCTAACTTCATAGAAGGAAGTCTTGTTTTGTCACATGAGTGCATGACTGACCCTTTGCACTGTGCTTCTCCGCCTACTTTGTTGAAATCTTGGCAGGTTTTTGGGACTGTCTTCCACATGAACCAGGGAAATCTCTTTAAGCGAAGCGCTCTGGTGGACAAATGGCCTGATTTTAATACGGTAGTTGTGTGTCCTCAGGAACAGGTAAGCTGCCGGCTGAGGCATGGATATGACAGGGTTTATATTTGCTGTGTAACACAAGCCTGGCAGACTGGTAAATCTCAGGGAAACACAAATGAATCAGGGTGATGATCAGGTAGTCCTGTGTTCAAGAAGCTCAGAGTCAGGAGGAATCACAAGCAATCCGCTGACGAATGCCAAAATGTGCAGTAGCATTGAGGAATACTTATGCTCTTGTTGTTATAAGAATTTTTATTGTTTAAAGACTGTACTTTAAGATATAGAAATAGGACCAAGCAAGAGATGATTACAAATAGAGATTTCAGCAGCTGCAGGGAGAGGATTAAAGCGCCTTCCGGGTAGATATTTCACTGGATTGATTTTGCTGTTAAGTAGGTTTTGACAGGCTGGCAAGAGTAGGGAACACATTACGAGCAGGGAAGGATAAAGCCTAAAATACATAAAGGCCAAATATGAAGAAATTAGGGAAATATTCACGAAAAATGACAGGCTCAGTACTTTGAAGCATGTTTGTAGTTCCTGACTTTTAAAAGTCACTCAATTAATGTGACTAAAAGGCTTTAAATACAAATATGTTTTAAGCACATTGAAAAACATAAGGTAAAACTCTACATATGTGAGGAACCAAAACAGCAGAATAGCGATCAGCAGCAAAATTCAGCCTCTCTGAGACCCAGAATCCAGACACTTGGGAAATAACAACTTGGCAAAGAGAGAAAGGGATGTGTCCCTGGGAATTAAGCAGGAACTAATACAAAAATTAGAAGGTATAGAGAAGTTGGAAAAATGGATCGTAGTAGAGAGAAGAGAGTGAAGCAATCTGGATGCCTACCCTGGTTTCTGGGAAGGAGAACTTGTTTCCACAGACACAAAATAAGCCACAAGGACCTGTGTGTCCAGGGAGAAAGACTTGGAAATGGCGCCGGCCACAGGAGGGAGGAACCCACAGCAGTTGTGAACTGTAAAAGCAGTGTGGGGTTTTGCCCCAAGGTGATTTCTTCCACACAGCAGGCAACTTTTTCAAGCTATTCCTTAAACAAAGGACTAATATCTAGAATATATAAAGAATTCAAGAAAAGTAGAGCTCTCAAAATAAAAGACCCGGTCAAAAATGGCTCACTACAGTGAGTAGACACTTCTTAGAAGAAGAAGGACAAATTGCCAATAAATACATGAAAAAGTTCAATGGTTTTGGCCTTTAGAGAAATGCAAATTGAAAACAACACCGAGGTTCCATCTTACTTCAGAAGGAATGGCTGCCAGCACAAAATCTAATAACAACCAATGCTGGTGAGGCTGTGGGCTAAAGAAAGCATTTTACATTGTTGGTGGGAGTGTAAGCTAGTACAAGCACCATGAAAATCAGTGTGGGGATTCCTCAAAACACTAAAACGAGAAGTTCCATCCAATGCAACTATTCTTCTAAGTATCTTCCCCAAAGATCTGAAGACATTTCAGTGATACATGGACCCCTGTGTTTATAGCAGTGTAATTTGTAACAGCTAAATTTTGGAAGCAGCCTGTATGTTCATCAACAGATAAATGAAGACAATGTTATATTTATATACAATGGAGCATTACACTACCATATAGAAGTGTAAACTTGAGTCTTATGTAGGAAAATGGGTGCTCCTTGAGACCATAACATTGAGTGAAATGAGTCAGACACACCAGCTTAAATATCACATGGTTTCTGTTGTATGAGGAACCCAAAATATAAATAATAAAAGCAAAATGAAGGATAATAGTAAATAGGGATAGATATTTTGCAAAAAAAAAGAAGGGGACCAAGAGCTGGAGCAGGTGTAGGGAGGTCGAGGGAGGGGGGAAAGGGGATGGAAAAGAATAAAGATGTGTTATGTATGCACACCACCTCCTCACAAGAAGTGTGATCATTGTGTATTTCAAACATGCACCAATAAGAAATAAAAATCAAACTATGAAGACATCCTAGAATTTGAGAGTTAAAAATTTTGAAGTGTTCAAATAGTCAAGTAATTGAAAAACAAACTTGCTTGAACCATGGCAATTTTTCCACAGAAAACATAAAAATATATAATTATGCTAAGAGAAACAAGTGAATCACAGAAGGTTAAATTTTGCACCATCTTACTTACATTACTTTTTACAAATGCAAATATATATAGACCTAGAGGACAAAACAGTGACTAATTAGGGGGAGGGTGGGGAGACACAGGTTAAAGGAATCAATGTAGCATCTTCAGAGGATGAAGCAGTTGAAATATCTAATGCATAACACGAAGGGTATAGATGGTAAAATTTTCCTGCATTTGCTACTAAAATTTTAAGTTCCAGCTGTTTTTCAGCCAAAAGAAAGCAGGGTAATAATGTGAAGTGAGGGATCTGTTAATTTTCTTCAGAGTAGTCATATTGTTTTGTAGTAACCTGTTTAGTAACTGTTCTAGTAACTGTGTGTACCTCATAACACCATGTTATATACCACATATACCATCATGTCATATACCATATATAGTTATTTATTATATATGTAGTTATTTATTAAAATCCACAAACAACATAGAATACCAAAATAAAGAACTTTAAATTAATTATTAAAATCTAAAAATGGAATATCTTTTAATATTATGTTTAAAACATTGATTGTTGATGGTACTATTGTTGAGTTGTATTTTGTGAAAACTTTTCCAGCTGTTCTATCTTGTCTGGGTATTTGTCCTCTGGCTGTTCTTCAAATAATCTCGTCCCTTATTTCTTAATCCTGAGAATATATTTTTGAATAAGTTTTATGTTTTTATTTTTCTAGAAATTCAAACTAGTCTTTTAGACAATGCCAGTTGGTGGTTTACATTTTAAAGATATTGTGTCAGGGCTGGGGATTTAGCTCAGCGGCAAAAGTGCCTGCCTGGCAAGTGCAAGGTCGTGAGTTCAGTTCCCGGTACCAGAGAAAAACCAAAAAAAAAAAAAAAAAAAAAAAAGATATTGTGTGACTTTCTTTGGTATAGCTTTCTGATGTGTAAATGGGAATTCTAATACTATAAGGTTTGCCATATCAATTTGAATACTGTCAAACTCAAACTGATTTGTTCTGATACTCTTTGAAACAGAATAATATTAGTCTTGCAACCAAAACTTGCCTTGGACAATATTACTTTTATTCTTTCTCCTGAAGACCACAAAATGGAGGAACGCTTCTTAAACCAGTGCATCTTTGGCTGATATTAAATTGTAACACAACATATAAATACTTAGTTGAACAAGATTTTTTAAGACACAAAGCAAATAGAGTCCTTGACTTCGTTTTTAGATGTAAATGACCCAAGGGTAATAAAATTTGTTAAAAATTCATATTTCCCCTTGTAACATAGCAGTATAATGAAAGCTAGGTAACAAGTATAGAAATGACCTGGTATAAGCAATTTGACTTATTCCATGTTTCCAAACCAAACAGGAAATGACAGATGACCTTGATCACTACACCAACACCTACCAAATCTTTTCTAAGGATCCCAAAAGCTGTGAGGAGTTCCTTGGAAAATCAGATGTCATCAACTGGAAACAACATTTGCAAATCCAAAGTAAGGAGACTGGGGTGTGTGCCGGCGGCCAGAGTCCTCCGTGTCTGCATCTGTAGGGCCACTCCCCATCCTGAGCGCATTCCCCTCAAACTTTTGCTTCCTTCTACAAAACCTCAGGATCTCCACCTCACATTCAATCCTTGTATTGGCTGCCAAAAATCAAGGTGTAGGATTTAAATGCTGCAGACAATGGCAGATATGAAAAACTGTGGATAAGGTACTTTCTTGTTAGCTGAGGATTGGGGATATATTTAGCACGATGTATTCAGTGTCCCTCAGGATGCCCAGGGGTGACAGGAAGAGCTTCATTCTGTTGTGAAGTGCATTACTGTACAACCTGAAAAATCTCCTCCTTTCCGTCAGGCCTTCCTTTCCCAGGATAACAACAGCTCCTTGTGCCACAGGTCTCCACGTACAGCTGCTGTGGCTATGGGCGTGCTCTCTCTAGCAACCCCGAAGGGCACGTTCTCGTTCAGCCTCTTGCCTTGCACTCTTAGGCACATGACTTAACTATTACTCGTTTATTCATTTATAGAAATGAAGATAACAAAAACCCTACAATATAGGGCCTGTGTAAGGATGAAATGAAGTAGTATTAGACCAGTGCCTTGGCAGACATTGTGCGCAGAATCAAGACTGGCTATTATAATTTGGGTACCACTTCTCCTTTGCACAGGAACTGTCAGGATTTCTAGGATCACTTCTGTTTTACATAAGAGAAAGCAATCTCAGAGAGTGACTTGATCGCAGTCAGTAAGTGGCTGTGATAGAAGCAAGATTGTCTGACACTAAATCCTGCTTTATTCTATTGGGCTTCTTCTTAAACCTTCTAAAGGGACAGTAACAGTTATCCTTACTCTCTGCCCTTCTAGGTACACAGTCCAGCCTGGATGAGGTGATACAAAGTCTTGCAGCTGCTAAATTGGTCAAGGTCAAGAAAACACAGTGCATCCTCTACTCGAGGCCAAAGACAGTAAAGAAACTGATGCCATCCCTGCTGGATACACAGAACTTACGTCCTGAGCCAGGAACACCCCCAGTCCCGTGAGTTTGACTTGAAATTATACTACAAAGCTACTGTGCTTTAAAAAAATACTTAATTTTACTGGGGCTTTTCTTGTTTGGGTGGCATGTACTCGGTGGACCTGTATGCAGTAGCTCTTACTCATTTCTGTCCTTTAACAGAAGTGCTGTAATATCCCTATTTTATGCAAGAAGTGGAGGCAGAAAGATATAAGTTACCTGCGCAAGACCACACAGCTGGTCAGATAATGAACCCAGCCTGGCCGCTGAGTTTGTGTCACTGCCGTCTTCCTACTTGCTTCTCGGTGCAGCTTCTGGGGGAAACAGTGCACCCCACATTACAGGCTGTTCTTTTCCCTTTTTCTCAACAGCAATCAAGAGATGTTTAAACTCTCATCACTGGACGTTACCCATGCTGCCTTGGTGGATAAACTATGGCATTTCGGCGGTAATGAGAGGAGCCGGAGATTCATCGAGCGCTGTGTCCGCACCTTTCCCAGCTCCTGCCTGCTGGGGCCTGAGGGGACCCCCGTGTCCTGGGCCCTCATGGACTACACTGGAGAAATGCGAATGGGAGGCACTCTGCCTGAGTACCAAGGCCAGGGCCTCGTGTCTTATGTCTTATACACCCAGGCCCAGACTCTAGAGAAACTTGGATTCCCTGTATATAGCCACACGGACAAAACCAACAAAGCTATGCAGAAGATAAGTCACAATCTGCATCATGTCACCATGCCCAATGACTGGAACCAGTGGAGCTGCGTGCCTCTGTGATGTCTCTGAACACAAGGCAGTACTGTGATGCTTCGGTGTGGCTGGAAGAGTAGACAGACAGAATAGATTGTAAGCAGCAGCAAAGGAGCGGACTTTGTTTTGGTTCCGGGGAGGCACACGACAGTCACCGGGACTGTCGTGCTCCTGCACCCAAGTTACTTTTCATGTCCAGCAGCCCTGGCGTAGGCCACACCTCTCTGAAGTCACCACAGCTTACTGGAGTGGCCACTGCCTTTGTCCAATGTACTATACTTCTGGATCTCGCTGACTCCGTTAGTCCGCTACATGCTGCTGTAATTATTCTCCAGCAACTCCTGTCTCGTGTGGATTACTGTCAGCAGAGAGAGCTTAACAGTTTGCCAAGACATGCTGTCATCTTGTGGATAGTATATAGCTTGTTTTTCTATGATCCCTTTATTTAGTGGGCAAAGTGTCCTGTCCCTTCTGTAGGTATCTAGAAGCGATTCTTCTACTAGCAGCCCTTTGATCTGCTTCCATGCTTAATAACCACGTTAATGTATGAAAATGCTGCAGTGAAACCCAGTGTCTGTATAAATGATATGCACTAATAAAAATGAAAAGAAACCATGCTAAATGCTTCACAATTATATGACAGTAGGTGGATAGGATACCTGAGAAATTTATTCTTTGAAATAAAATGTGTATATTTGATGCACACAACAAGGGGTTTTGAAATAAATGTAGATAGAAAAATAGGTACTATCGTGAAACAAATTGAGTGGTCATCATCTCACATACTTACACACTTTATTGTTTTCATGGTCACAGCAGCTTAAGTCTCATTTTGTATGAATAGTAAATGGTACAATTTCATCATGTTATGCATTAGATCTTGAGTGCGGTTCATCCTACATATCAGTTATTTTACATCCTCTGATTTACATTGCTGCCTTTCCTTGCCTCGATCCTCAGCTCTGATAACACACTTTAGTTCTCTTATCTCTGTATATTTGAATTTTTAAAAGATTCCATGTATAAGTGAGACAATACAATTTTTTCTTTCTCTGGCTAATTCCACTTATCATAATGTCTTCTGTGATCACCCATTTTATAGAAAATGGCAGGGGTCATTAAAAGCCATTTCCCCTGTTTCTCTCCCCTCTCCTTTAAAAGTACAGCTGTAAGTATGTGTAATGGTCGTGGTGTAAAGGCAACCTGATTGGTTTCAGACTCTACTTCGAGGTTTGGAGGACACACTTCTGGGAATGTCTGGGGGGCTCATGGAGGGATGGTCTTGGGACCTGTCTCTGTTGGAGAATCCAAGAGATCAGAGAGACCACCGGGAAACAGGACGATTTCATTAAGTGCACACCTGGGTCAGAGGGGACTCTTGTCCAAATAGCTGAGTGTCAGAACAAAGACAAGGCTCTGGTTTGAGACATTTGGTCAAGGGGTGGGGGTGGGCTTCATCCCCGAATTGGCAGGCAGTTAAGCAAGTTTACACAAAGCAGTCGAAGAGAGACAGTTTTTTAATTTAGCCTTGTAAGAAGACAAATTTCAGGATGTCACAGGACTCTGCATGTAGCGCTCCCAGGAACACAGTTGTCACCCTTCCCCATCCTGCTGGAGGGCAGGCAGAGGTCTGGATGCCATAGACCTTGTTTACAGGCACACAGCTGCACATATGATCTTGTAACAGAACAAGGAATTGTAGCCCAGGGGAGGGGGCAGTTCGAGCCGGGAATGCTTGTTTTTCTTTCAGTCCTGCTTCACCTCAGGTATCACCCCTTCCCCAGGAGCCCTGTTCTGCTCTGCTCTGCTCTTGGTTGCCAAGAAATAAGCAGCTGTGCTGTACCATGCCCTTCTGGCATGATGCTTCTGCCTCAGAGTCAGGCGACTATAAGCTAAATCACCTTCAAATGTGAGCCAAATTGTATCTCTCCTCCTCCAGTTTATGGGTGTCAGGTACTGTGTCTCAGCGATGGCAAAGCTGAGTCATACAGAAAATTTTTACTTAAAATGGGACCATTGCTGTGAGCGTGTCTGTCCACGTGGGTTGGTGTTTGGACTGGCTTGCAGGTGGCATTTGGAAAGGTTTCGAGTTGTGGGCTAGAGAAACCCCAAATTGCTCTAAGCAGGGCTTGATGGGGGATTCTAGTCAGAGCTCAAAAGGCCAGAATGCTGACAGAGATGTGGGCAGTAAAGGCCAGGCTCGGGAAGTTTTAGTTGGGAACAAAGACTCCACTGACAGTTGGACTAGAGGCCATGTGTTATACTCTGGCAGAAAACTTGTCTCCATGTTGCCTGTGTCCCAAGGCTTTGCTGAGATTACTGTCTTAGTTACTTTTCTCTTGTTGCTGAGACAAGACTCCTGACACCTAAAGTTAAAGGAGGAAAAGTTCACTAGGCTCACCATTTGTAGAAGCTTCAGCTTATAGTTGGCTGGTTCCAAAGCAGAGTGGCACAGCAGAGGGGCATCATAGAGGAGAAGCAGGTCATAACAGAAGGCAGCAAGGCAGCAAGCAGCAAACTACAAGCAACAAGCAACAAGCGACAAGCGACAAGCAGCAACCCTCTTTCTGTTCCTTTTATCTTATCCAGGCTGCATGCCTTTAGGGTAGCACTCACACCCGGCTTGATCAGCGGTAATCTTCGTGCTGCACCATGTAGCAACCCCAGAATCACGGCTTGATCCCAGAACCATGCACCTAGATCCAGATGCCCTCAAAAAGCCCCACTTAGGACCACATGAGGCTTTGCAGGCAAATCTAGATACATTCCACAACATGGATTGAAAAATCTGATGGAGCAAATTTCAACACAGCCTAAAATTGAGGCTGCGGCGAGGGTACTCTGGCTGCTTTTAGCAAGAATTGTACTGAGAATGGGGTGGGGAGGCAGAATAAAAATTTGGAGAAACTTGAAATCTTGGCCCCAAATAAATCATGTATAAAGATCTGGGCCAAAGGAGATGTGGTTACAGAAGAAATTAGCACCATTAAAAGGAAACAAGCCCTTTGTATAGGAATAAGAAGAAAAATGTGTAGAGGGTATTTTAGAAATCAGGAAACACAAACATGCTTCAAAATGGGCAGGAGTGAAGGCATAGCTTATCTTCACAGAAGAGGCACCTAATAGCTTCCGCCACTCCATGTAAGTGATGTCTCTTTTGCACATGTGTAACAAAACAGATTGAATCGTGTAGCTCAGATCTCATGCATGTCTCTCCCACTGCCTTGTTTTTACTGCAGAGAGTAGAATGTGGGTGGACGGAGAAGGCGTTTCTTATGTAATCTGACCTTTCTTCCACTTTCCAACCTGTTGATTTTATGCAGTGCCTCTGAGGACAAAGGGTAGTGTGATATTTGGGAGAGATAAGTTCTGAGAACACGCTTCAGCTTTCCAACTTTGCGGAGCCAACTCTTTAATATGAGCCCGTGAGAGGACGGGAAAAGCTGATACCTTGGAAATTTTGCCAGCTTGGTGCAAAGTCCCTATTACAAGCTTCGGTTCAGCAGCGTCTATAGGGGCACACCAAAACTCGCTCACTCTTCAGTATCCTGCTGAACCGGACATCTCACCTCCCAGAAGTTGGGTCTAGGTACGTCTGTGAAGCTAGGTGTGGAGACAGCTTTTCAGGTGAGGACTCAAAGCAGAGACCGAATGTTCAAGTTCTAATGAATAAAATAGGAGATTCATGCTAAATGGGTAGATTTTAGTTTCTTTGGTCACACACAAGAATGGCATGCTGGGGTATGTTAATATGTTCAAAATTATAACTTTTTCACTACAAGTTTCCAATAAGATCATGTGCTATCTCTTAAATATATGTAATAATGTTTTTATTTTATTTTATTTTATTTTTGAGACAGGGTCTTGCTACGCAGTTCAGGCTGGCTTTGAGCTCATTTTGTAGCCTAAGAACTTGCAACAATCCTCCTGCCTCAGCCTCCCAAATGCTGGGATTACAGGCTTGCACCACCATGCTGGGTGCTTATTTTATATTTTTGAGACAGAGACTTGCTATGTAGCTCAGCACATGGCAGAGGGCAACAGTAGTTCAGGCTGGTCTGGACTACTACGTACCCCAGGCTGGCTTCGAACTCATGACAGTCCCCTGCCTCAGTCTCCCAAGTACTGGATTACAGGTGTACACCACCATGCCTGGCAATAATGTTTATTTTAAAAAATAGTCAATCTCTGCTTTTTGGCATGCCATTCCTCTTAAGGGAGTCAAATCACAATGCTCATATGGCGCTATGTGCAGAACATGCAGGTAAAGATGCTGTGGGAAAAAGAGTAACTTCAGTTTAAGAAACACATATCATATGTCTACGTGTGTTATATATTATGCCTGTGCGTATTCTGTTAAAGAGTTAGAGTTGCATCACCCTGTTAGATTATACTTTATATTACTGTTCCCTATTTCTGGACATAGGAATTTTGTTTAGCACTTGCTGTGTTAGTGTGCCTTTATAAACTACTATTTGTTTTTCTTTTAAAATTTTCTTTGGATTTGTTTCCCTTCTAGAATGGCAGGGTCAAACACTCTGAGGTTTGCGCACAAGTGTGGTGCCCAGTGTTGCTGGCTATAGTGAGAGTGTCAGATTGTCTGAGAAATCTCACTACTTGCTGCGCATTGTGTGTAGCTGTTTGTGTGCACATCCTCAGAAGACAAAGAAAACAAATTCCAAACTGCACAGTTCAAGAAATACAAGTAGCATGGCCTCCCCTGGATTTAACGTCGAACTGTGCCCTGTGCCTTACACCCAGACAAAAGCCTCATGCAGCCTGTGGTCGCCAGGGTGGCCTCTTGGAGGAGAAGAGCTTGGGACCTGGGAAGTGGAAGGTACCAGAACAAGGCAGTGGGAAGCGATGCCGCAGAGATCAGCAGTAATGTGTGGTGGAAACTTCTAGTCAAAAGCAACAGAACATCCCTGTAACCTGACAAAATTGGGAGCGTAGCTGTCAGTTAGGGAAACAGCGCTCGATGGGGAAGTGTGATGCGTTCACAGCAAGGCTGTAAGAGGGTCTTCGGGAGATGATTTGGGGAACAATTCAAGGAAACACGGTTTTGCTGTGACTTGGATCCTGCCAGAAAGCAGGATCAATTGTAAGCAGGGCAAATTCTACTGACCACTTCTGTCAGTAGAGCAGGAGAGGAGCAAAGTGACCCAAGTGACAGTCACGTGTTGACTGGGGAGGCGGATGCTTGGCCCTTTTTGCAGATTAGACTTTTCTTCTTGCTTTTGTCTGGATGCAAACATGATCATGGAGTGGTCTGGGTTTTTAATTATTTCTTATTCTGCTCCATTATGGCCAGAAAGCATCCTTGCCTGATGCTGCTCTTCTGTGAAAATATTACCTGGTGTCTTGGTTACTTTTCTCTCGTTGCTGAGACAAAATACCCAATGCCCAAAATGGAGGAAGGAAAGGTTTATTCAGCTTACAGTTTGTGGAGGTTTCAAGCCATACTTGGCTAGTTCCGAGGCAGAGAGGCACATGGCAGAGGGCTACAGTTCATGGCAGCAGATGGGGACGGGGCGGAACAGCAAAGCAGCCAGACCAAAAGGGAGGAATGGCGGCAAGCAGCCTCTTCCCCTCCCTTACATTGTTAGCAGGCTACCCCCATCTAAGGGGCGTGTAGCTCTCACATAATCTCCATGCCCTTCTCTTGCACAGGCTCAGGTTCTATACAAAATAAGCACCCTGGCTTCCTGCTGAGTCACTTAGCCAAACCTCTAGACTTCCCAAGTTGACAGTGTATCAACCATAGCACCTGGTAAGGGCTGCTTTTGTTACTTTCTCAGATTCCTGAAGATTTCAAGTGGAACAGTGAGCTACTTCAGATAAGTGAACTGTAGGGCAGACCGCAGCAGAAAGGCAAATGTACACAGTAAGCAATGACTTTCTCCTAACGTGCAGTCAGAAATTTACAACTACTTGAGTCTGTCAGTAAGTCATTTTGACTGTTTAATAATAAAAATTAGCACCATTCACTGAAAAGACTATTTTTCTATCCACCACTGAATTGCCTAGGCACCTTTGTAGGAAATGAACTAGTAAAAAATATCCAGTCTACTCTGGACTTCTATTCTATTCTAATGCTCTATTTATCTGTCCTTGTACCAGTATCATTATCTTGATCACTATAAGTTTCTAGTAAGCCCTACGGTCTTGTGAACGTTATAATCAATGTGGCACTTTCCTTAAATAAAATTTAGAATGTCTTGTGACTGACTTGATCAGTGCTCTGAGAAATGTCACCTTAACCGTAATGAATCTTCTGATTTTCCCCCCACCTGTGTATCACTGTGAATGGTCTCAATTGCTGAGTGTTTCCTCTTTAATGTTTAATCCACTTCCTGTTAATCACGTCCTGTCCATTTTTCACTTCTATAAGGTCCATCTTACTCTTTTAAACATATTTTAAATTATAGGCCTAATTATGTTTAGTTTAATTTTTTATGTTTTTCTCTCTCTCTAGCTGCACTTTGATCTCCCCAAACTAGTTTCTGCATGTTCAAGTCAGCGAGCGACCAGGTTCCCTCGCTATAGTGTAGAAGTGCCTTCAAACAACAAGCTGGTGCAGTCTCAACACTCACTTAAAAATTATTTGTTTATTTTCTGTGGTTCTGGTGACTGAACCAAGGACCTGAGCATGTATGCAAGTGCTCTGCTATGAGCCACATTCTCAACCTTATTCTGTTTTCTCTTTTCTCAGAGATTATAGGAAAAAAAGTCCTGGATATTATGAGATTCATCATTATTTGAGATGGAAAGATAAATCCAGGTCCTGTCACCTTATCCCAACTAGAAGCAAAATTTCTCCTCTTTGCCTTTTAGAAATCGCAGGGTTATCTGGGTTTGACCTGGGGCCTGACGTCTCCCTCAGGACCAGGCTGAAGGCAATGCTCAGCACTTTCTCCCAGCTGTCACTTCAAAGCCACTTTTCTCTACCCCAAATATCACCTTTGCATGAGAGCCATTGGCCACACAGGCTCTTTTAGTTCTTTTTTATGTAGTTGGGATCTTGTGGATTTAGAAGAGCCAAAATAGGGGCTGGGGGTTTAGCTCAGTGGCAGAGCGCCTGCCTGGCAAGCGCGAGGTTGTGAATTCGGTTCCCAGTACAGGAAAAAGAAAAAAAAAAAAAATAGAAGAGCCAAATTTGATGTAATGGCCACATTTGCAAGCATGTTGTTTTCATGTCGCCCGGTAATGCTGCACAGTGTCACAGATCCGGGAGCGAGGCGGAGAGGTGAAGGCAGTCTCGGAAAAAGTATGAGGCTCAGTGATAGGACAAGAGGATCAGCACCGAGCATGACTCGGGCGTAATAATTTTCAAAAAGATTGTTTGTATTAAATCATGTGAAATGCCCTACAGTAAAATAAATGTATAAAAACACTGTGCACCATGCAGTACAGCAACTCCAGTGGGGAGAAAAAAGAGAAAGAAAAGGCAAGGAGAAGTAATAGTATTAGTACCAGCAAAATAAATAACATATCCAGTGCTGTTCATATGACCAATGCTCTACTCAGCACAATGCAGGTATCACTTATTTAACCCTTGTGAAAATCAGGTTAGAGAATGCATTATCTCGTCTGTCTTTGGGGAAACAAAGGCATGGAGGGGCTAAGTAACTTTTCCAAAGTTACCCAACCCGGTACTGGAAGAGCCGGGAGGATGACTGACAGCAGCTGAAACTCATCAGGTGTTGTATGTTTTAAAATGTGCTTGCTCATACAAAGTGAAACTAATGGTTAGAATTTATCCAAGGGTAAGAAAGGTAACTGGAGATTTCAGAAAGAGACCAGAGCCTTCTGCCTTCAACCAGTCTCGTTTTTCCGTAGAGTTGGCGAGGGCCTCAGTGAAGACGCTGAAGAAAGGCTTGGCCCCTGGAGCTCGCCACTACGGAACTTGCTTTTCATGTTTCTGAGCTTCCTTCAGCTCTTCTCATTCCTGGTACTTCTTGGTTGTCCCTCCAGGCTAAGCTGTTCTGCAAGATGTTCCCACTGCAAGGTGCACAGATGCTGCAGGCGCTGGAGAAGTCCTTGATCAGGAGCATTCCAGAATCCTTAAAGGTGACAAAGGGAAATGGCCCGGGGAGGACAGGAGATCTCTGAAAGAGCAGGAGAGGCACCTGTCTTGAGCCAGGCGTTATTTTATATGCTCCCATCTAATTTGTGTCATTTCTGTGCAAGATATTTGCTATCTTGTCCACTTCACTGAGGGGGAAATGAAGCTCACTCACCTGCCCAACATCACGCTGAGCACAGTGATGCCTGAGTCAGAACACTGCCTCCTGCCCGGTGCTGACTGAGAAGAGTACTTTCTTGCTTCTTTTCAAGGAACGTTTACTAATAACCTTTGAAACTTACCTAGGGTCTTACTCCAAAATGAGCTGAGATTACATGTTAATGTTTCATTTGTTTACTTTTGGAGAACATTTGCCAGGCAAGAGGTTAACCATCACGTGTCTTTTTGAGGTTGCAAACAGATCAATTCTTATTTTGACTTAAAATTTTTGATTTTCTAATTTCTCTGAACATAATCCCTATCAGTCTATTTTGGTACCTTCTTTATGCTTGTACAATTGACTGGAAATTTTTGGGTTAAATGAAGCACATGCATAGAACTATTTACACCCAGAAGTGTGTAAGAACAACTCTGATTATACATTTGGATACTGACTCTTATTTTTCATCAACTTTGTAAATGTTGAAGCATTGTACTCCAGTGTGTGTGTGTGTCTTTTTAGAGGAAAGTTATCCCCACATTTGTATTCCTTTATAAGACATTTATATGACATTCTTATACAAGGTTGTACATCATTCCTATACAAGATTTTACATAAGATGAATTCATTAAACTTCATCACTCTCTAACAGACTTGTTATTGCTTTACTACAAAGCAGAAAATATAGCATCCTTTTGTTTGTAGGTCATATGGCTTTATGTTTATTCAGTAGAAATAGTTTAATGAGGCAGTTGGTTGTGTTCTTCAATTACTACCAAATGATTTCACATCAACTATTCTAAAACTAAACTCATCTACTTTGATAGACAACACTAATATGGATCAATATTACATATTATTTAATTGCTTTCCTCTGAGAATTCTTAAGATCCAGGCAACTCCTGAAAAGATAGCACATTTTTTCTTGGATGTAATATCAAATAGACTCTCAAATAACAGTAACCTGAGATATTTTATGAGATTGAATATTTTTTTAAATGCTCCAGCCCAAAAAATTTATTCAATATCCTGTGATACAGAATTTTGTAATTTAAATTTCCCTTTATCTCTTGTGTTAAGTAGATTTGAAACATTTTTAGACAATTCTTGGTGATTCACAACGGTCTTTTCCGGGAACACTTATGTGGTGAGACAAAGCATTTCTGGGCAGCTTAGCTTTCAGGAAGGCCGAGCACTGCTCTTTGCACACTAAACTGAAGATATACATTTTTCCTTTGCAATAATATAGACTAATTTTCATGGAGGTATAGCTTAGAACTCACAATTGTGCCACACTTATTTGAGGCTCAGTTGAGAAAATATCTCCATTCTTCCAAGGACTGGATATTAAATATACTTTTATTAAAGTTATCAACTAAGACTGATTGTAGTAGTAGTTACTTCCCTAGAAAGTAACTACTAGTTAGACTAGTAGAAACTAGTCTAACTACTAGTAGAAACTAGTCTAACTACTAGTAGAAACTAGTCTAACTACTAGTAGAAAGTTGTAGTAGTTACTTCCCTATGTTTTGCTCACTTTGTTCTGAGTTCAGTAAAAAAAAATAGTTTCATTAGAGCTTAGTTGAATTAATTTTAGTTGAATTAATTAACTTAGCTGAATTAATTAACTTAGTTGAATTAATTAACTTAGTTGAATTAATTAACTTAGAAATATGGTATCTCTTCCCTTTCTCCTTGGTCTCACATCAGCAGCTCATGTGGGGGGAGAAGGGTGCTGACATCGTCCTTAAGCACTTTGTTTTCGCGATGGGAATTATGAACGTGCACAACATCTCTTGGATTTTTGGCCACTGGCATATTTTCATGCCGGTGTCTGATGAGCCTTTCTGTCTGTGGACTTCATGAGGTCCGTGAAGGCATCCACCACTGCATTCCTCAGGCTCAGAACCGGACGGGCTTTTGCCATCCACAGGTTTGCTCTCATTCATGCTAGTGCTCTCCTCTCTCTTCCACCCCTCTCTCCCATCAGCCTGTGCAATATGGCAGACGTGGGAGCTCAAGACTGGACCCAGGCTAGGAGACCCCAGGATTATTCCCTTGAGTAGTAGTTCATGGCTGCTGCTAGTTGATAGGAGTTCACTTAGCTCTCTAGAAGGCAATGTGGAAATGTTGCTGAAAGTGTTTTAAACATCTACATGACCTCTGAATCAGAAATTACCATGTGGGATGACCTAAGAAAATGGTAGGTACCCATGCAAAGAGTTTTGTCCAAACACATTATAGAAGGAATTATTTCATAAAATGAGAAGTTCAATACGCTGAAGTGGTCATTGATTGGAAGTAACTAAATGAACTGTGAGACATCCACATAGTGGAATCATGGTCAGCCTTTAGAAAGTAAGTACAAATGAATTTTTGTGTTTACCAACATAGGAATAACCCATAATATCCTCAGTGGGGGAAAAAGAACAACTTGTGATCATTTCATTTTTACAGTTTTTCACTGTGCCTGAATAGAAGAAAGTATGGAAAAAGGTGATATTAAGTCCCATAGTAAAGAATGGTGCTCCTAAAATCATTAATTTTATTTGCCTGAATACTTTATGTGTAACGATTCACACTGGGTGGAAAGGTAAACCCTTAGAATTGAGTTTAAATAAGAAAAGATAAACATGGAGTTTCTTTACCGAAACTATCTACTTGGTTCTTTTCCTTCATACAGTGTTACAATTTTATAGAAATGATTCTTGTCCTGATCAAACAAAGCATTCTGCCATTCTTTCTTACTAAACTGCCTTTCTTATTTTCTTGGAGTTTGCAGGTTTATGGGACTGTCTTTCACATTAACCATGGAAATCCATTCAATCTAAAAGCCCTGGTAGACAAGTGGCCTGATTTTAATACAGTGGTTATCCGCCCTCATAAGCAAGTAAGTGCCAGATGTGGAACAAATATGCCTCCATGTTCAAATTTGCTGTGTGTCTACCATGTACCTAGCAAAACACCAGAACCTAGAGATACAGACATGAATTGCAGAGATGCTTAACCAGTCCTGAACTCAATAAATTCACATCCTGGAAGAAAAGATAGGTGAACTGGTCGTTTGCCACCTAGTGTGAACTATGACAGAAAAAGACATGTATGAGCTACAGAAATAGTCCAAGTAAAATATAATTAAACTGTGGTGGCTGGAGTTGGGAATTTAGGGGTAATGCTACAGGTTTCATTTTACTTTTTTTTCCTTTTTTTTTGTCAGGCTGAGAAGGGAAGGCGTACATTCTAAAAAATAAGGAGGTATGACACAGGACAATTAAGGTAGATTACCTCTGAAGAGCTAAATTACAATGTTAGAATTTCTATTTTTCCATATTTTCTTGGGGAAAAGACTTGAAATTAATGAAACAAAATAGTTACTACATTTTGGAGGTAAAAACTCATAAATTTAAAACAAAATGAAAGAGGTGGAATGATAAGGTAGAACACATTTCTCCAGCAGTACTTTCCCATAGAAACACCTATTTGAACAATTACATATCTATGCACAAAAATGTCAGGTGACCTAAGAAAACCAGGTGATAAATCACAGTACCTGGTTGTAGCACAATCATAAAAAGCCAAATTGAAAATGGTATAAAGGATGCTGCACCCCCAGCTTGATATAACACAGCTCGGTCTGCGTGGGGGAAGTAGAGAAAGGTAAATAAGATTTTGCTTTGGAAGCCAGTACTGAGCCCAACACACACACACACACACACACACACACACACACACACACACACACACGGGGTAGAGCTAAATTCAAGCAGTGGCCACAAATTCAAGGCAGACACCCACATGATGAGCTTCCAGATCTGCCCTGGTAGCAGGTAACACCTCAAGACCCTAGGCTTCAGGCTTAAGTGGTGGGCTCAGTCCTTGACCCATACCAATACCCATGACCACAGAGGACCCTGAGTTGCTGGTGCTCTCCAGCGCCTCACTGAATGTGGTTGCTCTGGGCTACAAGTGTGCTCCAACACCACCACTGCTCTAGCAGTCCCGGGCTTGCTGACCAGACCAGAGAGCTTGCCAAACACCTCTGAGTAATTATCTGATTTAGAGCAATCTTTGTCAAAACAGCCAAGGTTAGGGTCAGCCCTAGTGATCATCAGTGGATGAATGGAGTTTTTAAAAGTGATATATAAAAAATAGAATACTTCTTAGCAATCAAAATAAAGGGATCTTGCCATTTGTGACAACATGAATTAAACATGGAGGATATTTTGTTAAGTGAAATCAACCAGGCACCAAGAGACATAAATCACTAAACCTCACTCATATGTAAAATCTAAGGCAGTTGATCTCATGGAAGCAGAGCGTAGAATGGTGGTTGCCGGTGGTTGGGGTGGTTACTGAAGGTTGGGATAATGTTGGCCAAAGGATACAGGTTAGAAATGGGGAGTAAGTTCAAGAGAGCTACTGTCTACAGTATTATTATTCCCTAATAATCACAGCACGGTGATTACAGTTAGTAACTTTAATTCTTGAAAAATGCAGAGAGAATAAAATGTTCTCACTATAAAATGTTTGTGTGAAATAATGCACATGCTAGTTAGCTAGAGTTGTTCATTCCACAATGTATAGCCTAGTCATGCATTGCATAATCACTTTTCAGTTGGTAAGGGATGGCACGGATGACATTGGTTCCATGAGATCGGGTCACTTAGTGACATTTTAGTTTCCACTTCAGTTTCTGCAGACACAGTCTATGATGATTTTACAACAGCAAAACACCTAACAAGGCATTTTTCAGAGCACACCCCCATTGCTAAGCAACGCATGACCTCTACTTCAAAAGATGTTGCATATAAAAACCATACACACTTTATCTGTGATTTAAAAAATCAATTAAAATTTAAAAATAAGATACAAAATGCAAATAAATAGAACATACAAATACAAACACAGAATTACATTTTAATACCGTGCCAAGTATTTTAAAAGACAAAATTAAACAATATATAAAATTAAGAAGTGTGGACTAATATTATAATGGAACTGAAATAAAGTTATTTGATTTTTTTTACCTGATCTTAGACAATAAATGACCTCTCTAGTGTCTTTCTTCACTTGTGAGTTTATTTTTGTGCATTACTTCCCACTACTGACAAAGGTTTTCTAATTCTATCCTTTGTAGTAATAATTTTCTCTGCCTCCTTTTCCCTAATAATCTGTTATTTAATCATTTGAAGGGGTCTTTTTGAATACCTGCTTTGTTTTTTTCAAATTAAAATTTGTTTGACCATCGTATATTAAAGGTAGCACTTCTGACTGCGTTTGATCTTATTTGGTTTTATTATACACCAGCGGGGATTTTAAATCTGGAGTTGCCTGCATCAGGTTGAACACTGCCGTGTGCATAGCTTGTGCTGTGCAGGGATTTGAGTCATAGTCAGATGTATCCCAGCAACTGCAGCTTTCCTTCATCAGCTGCTTTTATCTTCCTTGTGTTGAGAATGACTGAGATATAGAATACTGACAAAAACGTTGTCTTCCATTTGAAAAATTAGTGTAATACATGGGTAGAGGATGGTACTGCTCTGGAATTTTCCATTACTGGTTGAATATTTAAATCACTGACCTTGACCTCAAGATTTAAATGATTCAGAAATAAGTAGATTGCACCAATGAAAATACCAATGTTTCATTACTTAAAAATATTACAGAATAATGGAGCTAGCATTATAATCACAACCTATAAGGGATGTTTTATTCCATGTTTTTCAAACAATAACAGGATATGACAGATGACCTTGATCACTACACCAATACTTATCAAGTATACTCCAGGGACCCCCGAAATGCTCGGGAATTCCTTGCCTCCCCAGAAGTCATCAATTGGAAACAACATTTCCAAATTCAAAGTAAGTAAATGAATGCAGTGAGTGCTGACTCCTGTTTGTGTCCTGATAAAGTTCCAGGTGACTTAGCTTCCATCCTGCAAGCTCCACACACTCAGCCTGCTGCCACCTCTTTACATCTGGACCGGCAAAGGAGGAAAATGAACCATTAACTATTGCAAAGAACTTCTGGCATATTGTGCAGCTATATTCAGAATTCTTAGTGTGATGGGTGCCAGTAGCAGAGCTTTGCCCCGGCCCCTTTCTCGGCCGTGAATGGCAGTTCAGCATGTCACAAAGCACCTTGCAGATCATGAAGGGTGACCTCCCGGTCACGAGTATGCCTTTAGGGGTCAGACTCCTGAAGATGGCCTTTGCCTCCTTCTCTCTGTGGGAGCCGAGCCAAGTGGCTTACCCTCTCTGAGATCACATTCTTCACATATAAACATGAGAATAATAATGGTCACAGGGCCCTGGAAAGATTAATTTTGAATAAGAAAAGCTTTGTACCAATCCTGGATGTGTCCATTAACTTTCTCTACATAGCAAACGTTGTAATTTAGGGCTCGTCTTTGCAAGGTGGGTCCTCTGACGGGAGAACTCCGTACTTCCTCCTGCAGCTTGGCCTCACGGGCTTGGAGGAGGGCTCTGGAGTCAGCGAATGCCGGCTGCTGCTTGTGGTGATGGCAGCACGGCAGTGTGTGCCCCCAGCAAGCCGGCCTGGGTCTGTGTTTGTGATGTTAGTCACAAAATCGCCATGAACAGAGAGAAAGAAAGAGCCCCAAGGTACAAGCACCGTTAATCCTCTTGCATTGAATTTGTTCTTTCCATTGGTGAATGCAAATCTCACAGCCAAAGCCAGCCCCAGGGGTAGGAAAGGACCGTTCCAGGGAACAGACACCAGGAGATGGAGTCAGGTTGTGAGCCATTCCGGTAAGAATCTATCGGATTGGGATGAGAGGTCGGTAGAGGCTGGCTACCATTTTTTATGTCTCATTGCCTTTGATTATCAAAACTACATGATCATATTGTCCAGAAAACTTAGTTCCAGTCTTGATTCTGCCACTGTGAACATGGCAGTGAATGACTTCAGGCCTGAGTGTGCTTTCACTTATTTAAAACAGAACATTACAAATCCTTTGCAGGTGACCCTTCACTCTCCAGCAGCACAACACCCAGAGCTAAGGTTGTCTGACGTTTCCCGCTCTCCTGGACGGCTTCACCCTAAAATGTACTTACAACTACCCTGTCTCTTTATAAACCCACCTAGGCTCACAATCAAGCCTGAATGAAGTGATACAAAATCTTGCGGCCACTAAATCTTACCAAGTCAAACACTCAGAAAACTTCCTCTATCTGGCGTCTCAGACAGCTAAGAAACTGGCCCCCTCCCTGCTGGATGCGGAGAGCTTATCCCCGGGTGGTGGCAAGCCCAAGGCTATGTGAGTCTGATAAATATTACTTTGTACTGCTCAGCTTTTCCACTAAAGCAAGCTTCCTCCTCTCCCTGCTTTTGCTTTAGCCTCCCTACGATGTGTTCTATGAGCGCTCAGAATCATCCTTTTAAAGGTGTAGCTCAGACCCTGTTCCCCTCTGCTTAAAGCAAGCCGCCATCTCCCTTCTTATCAGAAGTCAGTCAGACGCGTGTCTCCCACTCCGACCTTCCTTCTCGCTCCCTCCTCCAGCCACGCTGGCTTTCTTTCCGCTCCTCTCCAGCCCACGTTCATCCACACTCCTGCACTTTGCCACTGCTGTTTCCTAGGCCGCCTCTCAGGATGACGGAGGTAAGAACGAACATCTTTGTATTCATGGACTTCTCCTTCTTCTTTGTCTCTTCGCAGCAACCAAGCCCTGTTCAAACTCTCGTCCCTGGATGTCACCCAGTCCACCTTTCTGAACGAGTTTTGGCTGTTCGGTGGCAACGAGAGGAGCCAGAGATTCATCGAGCGCTGCATCCGCAGCTTCCCCAGCTTCTGCCTGCTGGGGCCGGAGGGGACGCTGGTGTCCTGGTGCCTGATGGACCAGACTGGAGAAACGCGGGTAGCAGGCACCTTGCCTGAGTACCGGGGCCAGGGCCTTGTCTCCCACGTTGTCTACACACTGGGCCTGGCTATGGACAAGCTTGGCTTTCCTGTGTACTCTCACACAGACAAGAGCAACAAGGCCATGCAGAGAATGAGCTACACTCTGCACCACATCCCCATGTCCTCCAGCTGGAACCAGTGGCACTGTACTCCTCTGTGAGGCTGGCGGTGCTGGGGGTCTGGACAGGCAGTGGTGGTCACAGAAAGAATAAACTGTAATCAGCAGCAAAGAGTGGGTGCTCTTTCAGCGGTGAATGGTCAACCCCACGGCCACGTTTGCGGGGTCAAGTCACTCACAGACCTGCCTGAGGTTGCTCAGGTTCGGGTAGGCCTAGATCCTCCTGCACAGACCCCATGGAACTGAGCTCCCCATACTTCCAGGATCTCGGTGACCTCCCTTCCTCAGCTACATAATGCTCAGACTCCCCTGGAACTCCAAGGACAAGGGTTGGAAGTCTCTCGTGAGCTGGCTGGCGGAGAGGAGATAACATTTCCTGTCCCTGATTCTTTCTTTTCTCCTTCCATGGCCTGCCTTCTAGTGCTCAGTGAGCGGACACTCACCATTAGGTATAGGCTCTGAAGAGGCTATGCTCACATCCGTTTGTATCACACACACATTACATGGGATATTAGGTTAAATGCAATATATAGCAAGGGTCATTATTAAGAAAATACTGCATGTCCTTTCCCAACTCCCACTCCGGGGACAATAACCCAGTGTTCCTTCAGGAGCCTGATCTATGAAGTTCGGGTATTTGTCTCACAGGAAAGCCATTGTGGGAACAAAGAAAGAGGTAATCTTGTAGATCGGAACAGGCTTCCTGGGACAGTCTCTTGTCCTACCACTTGAAAGGAAATAACACTCACTGCCAGCCCTGGGCAGCAAAGCGAGCTCTGTAATGGAGAGGATTACGTGTGTGAAGAACATATTCCCTGCTGATCTACCTAAGCCTAGAATTACGCTGTGGAACTGGAGGAAAGCCCTATCCTACCCGCCCATCTCTAAAATAACGGCCAAGGTTTAATTTTCCGGGATAGTCACGGGACTAGAGGTCCAGGTTAGATCAAAGCTTCCCAGCCTTGGCACAATGCATATTTTGGACTATGCAGTTCTTTGTCCTGTGAGCTGTCCCGTGCATCGAGGACACTGACCACATCCTTGGTGTCTACCCACTACATGCTGGTAGCATCCTCCATCCCAGAAAGTCTCTCCATCTTCATGGGTACATTTGCCATGCACACTGCTCAGCAGCAGTGCGGCTCCCAAATTGCTTGGCAGGAGTCTCCCTCATGTCATTCCTGGTCGGTCACTTGTATTCTGGCCATCGCTGAAGTTCTCTGAGGATGAGGCTGGGGGCCATGGCACGTACAAGGCAGCTTCCACTCATTCTGCTTGTTTTTCATGCGCCATTGTCAGTAACAGGAGATATAGCATATCCCCTGTACTGTAGTTAGGCACACTATCCAGATGAGTACTGTCGTTGGGGGAAAAGGAAGCAAGACAGCAGAGTCAGCATTTAAAACAACAGCATTGAGAAAGGTAAGAGGAGTGTGTTAATCACCAAGTAGAGGCCGGGGATCCAAAGTCCAGTATCTTAATATCAAAACAACAGGCTGTCATTTCTATGAGTGCAAAGAAGGCTCCCTTCTCCCTCCAGGGATCCCTGTGGTGACGGGGAAGAGTAGGCAGAGGGAGGCAGGGTCTTTGTGACAGAAATAGGGAGAGCGGGCTCAGGTCAAGAAATGGATTTATGAGACTAGTGTGTGGAAAGAGACCTCAAGATATTCCTGAGAGGAAGGGGACAGTCCTCTCTGAGGCAGGGAAGAAGACACCACTCTACTCCTGAACCTTCTGCCTTCAGAAAGATGGCTTGAAAGAGGGGCCTGCAGTGCAGACTTTCCAAGGGAATAAAGCGTTGCCACACTTTGACTGGCTGGGTCACGTTCTTTTTCTCACTACTGATATGTATAGTTTAGTTTTACTGTGGAATAACTGGTTTCCTTGTGAAATTTCTTCTCGAGGGAGCTGCAATCTTACTTTTATTTATAGTTACTGTCTACTAAGCTATAAATTACCGATATTTTCTTTTTCTTTTGATGTTATATCCAAGGTCATGAAATTTTTACCTATATATTTTTTGTGGTAGTTTTATGGTTTCAACTCTTATACATAGATCATAGATACACTTTTGGTTTATGTATTGACTGAGGAAGGAATTCAGCTTCATTCTTTTGCACACAGATTTACATTTGTCCCAGAACAATTTGTTGCAGAGAACATTCTTTCCTCATTAAATGAACTTGATGTACTTGTCAGTAATCCAGTCAAAAGTATAGGTTCTTGTCACTGGTTGATTTCTTAATGATAGCCATTCTTTGTGGGGTGAGATGAACTCTTAGTGTTGTTTTAATTTGCATTTCTCAAATGACTAATGTTGTTGAGCATTTTTTCATATGTTTATTTGCCATTAGTATTTCTTCCTCTGAGAAGTGTGTGTTCATGTCAGATGCCCATTTTTGGATTGGGTCTTTGAATTTTTGGGGCCTGACTTTTAAAAATTCTTTATATGTTCCCGATAGGAGTCCTTTGTCTGAGGGGCAGTTGGATGAAATTCTTTCCCAATTTGTGGGTTTTCTTTTTACTCTATTGGTGATTTCTTTTGATGAGTAGAAACTTTTCAATAAGATGAGATCCTAGTCGTTGATTCTTTGAAGTATTTTCCTTGCAGTTTGGTTTTTGTTCATGAACTCTTTGCCTACCCCGGTGGCATAACTGTACATTGGTGTCTGATGGTTTGTTGAGGGGAACAGTTAATGATTAAAAGTTTTTTTTTAATATTTTGACCAATTTTCATGCTTGTATCTGGTAATCTGAGCAACTTATGTGATGACAACAATTTGCAGTATAATATCCATTGGTGAATTCCTGCAATCCTGCCTAGTGACACTATGTATTGTCTCTAATGTTCTTTCAAATTATTATTTTCTTATTCTCTAGAATGATTTGATCAACCTTCTATTCTTACATCTGGTAATCTGAGCAACTTTGCTGAAGATAACAATATGTAATATAACAACCACTGTTAATCCCTATCATTTGGTTTGAAACCCTGTATCATTTTTTTGTTTGTTTTTTTCTTCCGGTACCAGGAATCAAATTCATGACCTTGCACTTGCCAGGCAGGTGCTATGCCGCTGAGCTAAATCCCTATCCTCCCCCCGTATCATTTTTAATGTCCTTGCTTTGTGTTGTTTGTATTTTGCTATTGTTCTTTTATTGTAGTAGTTTCTTTAAAATAAAAAAGTGTAGGTTCTTTTTTCTTGGCATTTAATTTTGGTCATGATGATAATTACTTTGGCTTTATAAAAAATTTGGCAATGAGAAGGTGTGAGTCACCCTACTTTACTCTTTTTGTCAAGATTATTTTGGCTAAGAAGAGTCCTTTATAATTCAATATATATATTTTTGGAGTGGATTTTTCCATTTCTGCAAACACGTCATTGGAATTTTGATGACAGTTTTATTACCTATACATGTCACAATGGGATGTACTGTATTGTCACTTAACAATGTTGTTTTCCAATTCATAAGCAGAGAACATTTTTTCATTTATTTAAATTTTTTTTTAAATTTTTGCAACTTACTGTAGCTTTTAAAGAGAAGTCTCACATACCCTTGGCTAAACTTACTACTGGGTATTTGATTCATTTAAATGCTGCTGTAAATGAAACTATTTTAATTTTCTTTTTGAGTTATTTATTACTAGTATGTTGAAACAACTGGATTTTACTTGAGGATCTTGGATCCCATCACTTTTCTGGGTAAGACTATTAGTTAATAGAATTTTACTCATTTTTTAGACTTTTTATAAAGAAAATCATACGTAAGTATAGTTATAGTCTTATTTCTGCCTTTTTATTAGATATTTTAAATTTATTTTTCTTATTGCTCTGGATAAAATTTCTGGTACAACTTTAAACAGATATGGTGAAATTCTACTTTTTCTTTGATCTTATGTGGGAAGTATGTATGTATGTATGTGTATATTTGAGACAAGGTCTTACGGTGTAGTTCAGGTTGGTCTTGAATTTACTATGTAACCCCCCACACACACACACACTGGAAAATACAAGCAAACAAAACTGAAGGAAAATATTTCACTAGGCCAGCTTTTTTATAGTTAGCAAACAGTGGAAATAACACAAGTGTTTCTCAAATGAGGAAAGGGAAATCGATGTATAAAGTGTATATAATGGAATGTGACTTTACAATAGAAGCTATCACTACAGATATAGGTAATAATAAGACTGGACCTCAGAAACAGTATTCTAAGTGCAAGGTGACAGAACCAATATCTACATACTCTAGGATTCTAGCCCAGAACATATTGCAAAACAAAATAATATAAATTACAAAGTTTAGAGTTGACCAAGTACTGTGGGTGGAAGAAGGATCTGCCTACAAAGAAGCTTGATAAACATTAATTACAGGTGATCATGATAGTGGCAACATGAATATACATCTGACCACGTTTTTTAGAGCTATAGATTAATGTATACACATTATTACTTGTAAATGATGTACCAATTAAAAATGAAAAAACAAGACATAACAACAAACGATACAAACATATACAGGGATATTCAAAATACTCAACTGAGTCCAACACATAGCTTAATTGCTTCTTCCTTAGAAAAACAGGATGAGGCGTTACAGATGCCCTTGTGGGAAACTTCTCCAGAGAGCTCTGTTGCTATAATTCCCTCCTGGTCCCCTGTGTACCCTCTGAAGTCCAACATGCAGCCAGGTGGTGTTATTGTGAAAAGACTAGACAGCCTGCTGGGTACCGCTCGTCATTTATTCACTTGAGTGCTCATATTCCTTGGTACGTGCAGGCTTTCTCTGAAGTAAGATTCGCTAGGAGTCTGCAACCATGGCTAATGAAAATAGCCAAGATAAAAATTGTACTGACTGACCTCAAAGAACCAGTTCCCAAGTTATTTTGTACATCTTCCTCTACTCGCAATTTACAAAAGCAACTCTGTGAATTGTGTGGAAGGAAACTTATTTTACAAATAAGGAAGAAGGAAATGAATTGTTCAAAGATACAGAATGGTAGATTCATGACCTGAATGCATATTAGCATCTTTTCCTCTAATTTTTTGCTGGCTTAGAAACCTCTGAACCTTTTCACTATTACCTGCAAGAAAGCTGTTCTAACAGTGTTTATGCATTAGACAATGGAAGAATTTCTCATGTGAAACTCACTGTTCAGAACTGACCATTACTTTGGTTCAAGGAGCAAGGTAAGCTTCCATAGTCAAGATACAATTTTAGAGAAAAGTGTAATCCATGAAAAAATAGTAATAACATAACTACTAAGTATTATTTGAGCACAAAGATAGAGCTTTGAGCAATTTTTCTAAATCTTTGAAATAAAGCTGTAGTACAGATGCTACATTTCCATCACTGGAGAGTTTAATGTACTTAGGAAGCATCCTCACACTTGCTAAAAATATTAACAAAAACCATTAGAGGTGAGGCTCTGATTGACCAGGAAAGTGACTTGATTTTTTCATTGTCAGCTGTTCTCTCCTAGGAGGTAAAAGAGACATAAACTGAATGAAATGACTCTTCTTTCTGTTAAAAAGGCACCTACTTGAATTAGCAGGGTCTGATTTAATGTTTCCCCCCGAATTCCAGAATCTCATCTTTAATATTACTGGTAAATCTGTCCTCGTACACAATGATATGGCTGAAAGCAAGGGCTTTTGATTAGGATGGGACTGGGTTTAAATAATGAATTTAGAATCTTCCTCACTCTTAGCTGTGGGATTTCACAATACCGCTGAACTTCACAAATAACCAGTTGCCATCACGGTGCAGGGAAATAACAGTGCTCCTTTTAAGCACATACAGACACATGTAAATATGTAGCCACATGCACGTCTTACGCATGCTGTAGAAGGTAGAAGTAGAGGTGATTGTGTGTTAAGGTCATTAGGGGCTAGCTTGTCTGGTGAGCATGCAAAAGGAATAGGAGAAAAAAACAAAAAGTAGTAGTTGGCAGAATAGGAATACACACAAAAAAGTCCACAATTCAAATAAAAGTATTTGAAAGTCCTGTTGCTGCAATAGAAAAGATTCAACTAAAACACTTCTCAACAAGGACTTTTCAACAAAATAGGTCTTTGGGCTAAAAGTAACCCACAAACTATGCCTTTCCAACCCTCCGTATTTGTGATGCGGCTACAACAGGACAGTGACGACACACTCTTCGAATCAAGCTGAGATATAGATTTCAAGCAAGTGTTCACAGAATAACAGCTCCCTGAGATGAACTGAGCTGGCAGCCAGCTGTGGAGAGCACGGGCAGCGTGTGGGTTACCGAAGCGCACATAAAATCTCGGTGACTTTAGCGTGGAAAAGAAGCAATCTGAAGGATGAGATTTCACCAAACCTCCTGTGCACTGGAAGCCCTGCTCGTCGCCTCCTTCCCCTCTTGAGCATCACCTAGGCCCTCATTGTACCCTTGCGGTGACAGAACAGCTAATGTTCATCCAGCTTTGCCACACACACAGCATGTGACTGCTTGTCAAAACTAGATTGTTTTATTCAACCCTCACCAGGATACTTTGAGGTAAGGACACAGCCGTGTTAATTTTGTCAATGAAGAAAATCTAGTACAGCGAGATGGGTTAGGACTGAAGGTTCCTAGGTCCTCAGTGAGGAGCTGACATGCAGCTCGTGCAGAACCTCGGCTCTGTGCATGAGGCTGTGCCCCCGGGTAGAGGCACCCTGCTGGTTATCCAGGCCCCACTGTTCCGTTATGTGCCACATCTGCAGAGCACGTGTCTCTTAGTTAAGTAACTGTGAAACCCAAACACTGAGCTTGGACCAACAGAGACGATAAATAATTGCGAGCTGCAACTTCACTTAAAATTTAGTTTAAGGGGCTGGGGATTTAGCTCAGCGGCACAACGCCTGCCTGGCAAGCGCAAGGTTGTGAGTTCGATTCCCAGTACTGGAAAAATAAATAAATAAATAAAATTTAGTGTAAGCATTGACTGTTCCTTTCAATAAACCACAGACATCAGCAATATACCTATTCCAGCTACACTTATATATACATATAAATTTTGTTTTTCATTAAAAAAAACAAAATAGCACTTGAGTCTGGTAATCAGAATGATTGATCTGAAAACAGCAATATGCAGCATAAGAACGATTGTTGAACTCCTACCATCTTGTATGGTGAGCCTCTGTCATTTCCAATTTTTTTTTTATTACTTGTTAGTGTCTTTGATTGTGTGATCAATCTTACATTCTTACATCTGGTGGACTGAGCAACCTGGTTGAAGATAACAGTGTGTAATGTAGCAACCATTGTTTCTTCCTATCGTTTTGTTTTGAGGTCATGTATCGGTTTTGTTGTTTCTGTATTGTTTCAATTTTATCTTCATTGTTTTGTTGGTTTTTCTTATTAATTTTTAAAATTAAAAAAAATGCAAAAAAAATTTAGTTTAGACCATAAAACTTGGTAACCATTCTGTCCGGGGCCATAGCTCTGCAGTTTAATTTGCCAATTAACACTTAGGAAGACATGAATATATTCTTCAACTTCTTGTGCTTCCCAGTTTAAGAGAAAATAGCAGCTAATCTCTTTTATAAATATGTTGAGGAGTCAGGGGATATAGTTTTAGTGTTTAGAGAAGTTTCTGCACACTAGTTGGAGAAAAGTCTGAATTTAGTGGGCTGGGAAAAGATGACGAGGTTATCATGGTAGATAATTTATCAAACTTTCAAAATCTCAGTTTACAATTGTATAAGATTTCAAAAATCTAAAGTGGGTCTCTGAAAATCCTTCACTCAATAGTCTGAGGCTCTATAGATAGTATGCTAAATTTTGTTATTACATTCATGTCTTAGTTGTGGAAAATCTTGAAATGCATATCAGTGTCGTAGTGGAATAATGCCTGTGGTAGAGAAGCATTTCGATTGCATGCAGTCTCTACATATTTCATGCTCTGTTCCTTTGTTTATCTTTGCTGCAGGGCTTCTTCTGATTCCTAAACAACACTGATGGAGAACGGGACAGAAGTGACGGAGTTCATCCTCCTAGGGCTAACCAGTGACCCAGAACTGCGAGTCCCTCTCTTTGTAATGTTCCTTCTCATCTACCTCATCAATCTGGTTGGGAACCTGGGGATGATAGTGTTGATTCTCTGGGACTGTCGTCTGCACACCCCCATGTACTTTTTCCTGGGGAACCTGTCCCTTGTGGACCTCTGTTACTCCTCAGCTGTCACTCCCACAGTCGTAACTGGGCTCCTGATAGGAAGCAAGGTCATTTCCTACGATGCTTGTGCTGCTCAGATGTTCCTGTTCGCAGCCTTTGCCACTGCGGAAAATTTCCTGTTGGCAGCCATGGCTTACGATCGCTATGCCGCAGTGTGCAAACCCTTACACTATGCCACCACCATGACCACAAGCGTGTGTGTGTGCCTGACCCTGGGCTGCTATGTCGGTGGTTTCCTGAACGCCTCCATCCACACTGGGGACACATTCAGTCTCTCCTTCTGTAAGTCCCGTGTGGTCCACCACTTTTTCTGTGATGTACCAGCAGTCATGGTTCTCTCTTGCTCTGATAGACACATCAGCGAGATGGTGCTTGTTTATGCAGCAAGCTTTGTTATCTGCTCCGCTCTCCTGGTTATCTTGGTGTCTTACGTGTTCATTTTTATCACCATCCTAAGGATGCGCTCGGCTGCAGGGTACCAGAAGGCTCTGTCCACCTGTGTGTCCCACTTCACCGCAGTCTCCATCTTCTACGGGACCCTCATCTTCATGTACCTGCAGCCCAGCTCCACTCACTCCATGGACACAGACAAAATCGTGTCCGTGTTCTACACCATGGTCATCCCCATGCTGAACCCTGTGGTCTACAGCCTGAGGAACAAGGAGGTCAAGAGTGCATTCAAGAAGGTGGTGGAGAAGGCACAGTATTTTCTAGGAATGTGAGTCTAACTCTGAAGAGTCTGTAATACCCTAGTTTTATTCTTGTTTGTTTGTTGAGTTCTAAGAATTTTCATTTGATATACTGATAGCCTTAAATGTATGTGCTCATAGTGTTTGCATATTTTATGAAGAGATGTAGAACTTACATATATATTAAAAGAATTAAACTTTTTGTCTTGGCTGCAGTGGTTTGTAGAGCCTACGTTTTCACTTTGCACTTTTCAGAAGGATAAAATAGCCATGGCATACCAAAGGGAGGAGGATAAAACCATGTTAAAACCTATTACTATGTGATTACCGACATTCACATTATTTAAAAATGCTCTTAGATGTTAGTAGTGTTCTGTATTTTTCCACTCTGCAAGTGCTTCGAGATGCCTAATGTTGCTCATTACTTCTAAATTTGGTTGAGTTGTATCAGGTCTTCATGCCTGCTGTCTTTTGCCCCATGCTGTTTACGCTGATCTTGATGTTTCTTCCCAACTCCATACACATCCCGGCTGTGGAGCGCTTGTGGGGAAAGTTCACCCTTGTGGGGAAAGTTCCCCTGTGGGGAAGGGCTCCTCATTTCATCCAGGTCTCTGCTTCAAGTGTGAACCTCTCGTGCCAGCCTTCCCGACATTGTACAGAACATTTCATGAGTCCATGTGGCTCTGGGCATGGAAAACCCACTTGAGGATTGTTGCCAAAATGACATCAAAGAAGAACAAGAAGGGGAACAATGTGTGCTGCTGGTTTTCCTGATGTTCTCGGCAGTGGAGCTCAGGGATGGCTGCGGTTCTCTTCGGGGGAGCTCTGGTCTTTGCCTTGAGTGTGGGTTCTTGGCTCCAAGGCAGATCCCTCAGCCTGTTGCTACAGATGCTTCTCGACATGAGCACAGACATTCTAGTTTCCTCCACTGGCCTTTGGGTCTTCCCAGTGCGGATCCTTGATGCAGACTTGCATGAGGCATTGCTGTGGGCTCCAGGCCTCTGGCTGGACTCCTGGTGGGCACTGCCGTGGGATCCGGGGCTTTAGCCAGATTCTTCAGATCTCTTGCACTCTTCTGCATTTGATTTTGTGAATGAATATTATAAAATAATTCTTTAAATTATATGTTCCATATTAAATCTTTTCCATTAAATCACTGACTACAACATATAGCATAAGCAGTGCATGGGCTGAGGCTATAAAAAGCATATAGAAAAATTCCCATACATATGTAGACATATGTGCACACACACTTATGCTTATTTTAATGTGTCATTCTCATGTTGATCTGGAGCTAAATATGACTTCATACTAATCTCTCCCACTAAGCCAGTTCAGCACATATGTGTAACTTCCTTCTCTGAGATTCAGAAACTTGGCATTGACACCTGTTATTCATAGATTTATTATATTTGACTCCTACATACAAATAAAGCAGTCCGATGATTGTTAATCAATATTTGATGGCAAACAATTTTAGCCATGTAAGTACTAGACTCGTGTATACTTCTTTTACTCTTAGATTTAAATTTCCTGATTGTCACAATGGTTTCTAACAGGAGATAAAGTAATACATCTGTAAAACACTTCAATTCTGTGTCATGATTTTAGAAGGAAAGCGTTCAGTTTTCCCCCATTTAATATGATGCTGGCAAGGGCTGGGGATTTAGCTCAGTGGCACAGTGCCTGCCAGCAAGCACAAGGTCATGAGTTTGATTCCCTGTACAGGAAAAAAACCAAAAACAAACAAAAAATATGATGCTGGCAGTAGGCTTGTCATAAATGGGTTTTATCATATTGAGATAAGGTCTCTCTATATCTATTTTCTTCAGAGTCTCTCTTTTTTTGTCATTAATGGATATTGGATTTTGTCAAAGGCTTTTTCTGTGTCTACTGAGATGATCATGTGAATTTTGTCCTTGCTTTTGTTTATGTGATGTAGCATTTTTTACATACTATGTCCTTTAATTGGAGAATTTCATCAGTTAACATCCACTTACATTCAAGCTTATTATCAATAGCTAA